CAAATAACTCTGAACTAACTAAAAATGAGGAGGTTAGATGAGACTAAATTTTCCTTAGCAACGGCTCGAAAAGATCGGTTAATGGGCCCTTAAGGTGGCTCCTTATAGTTTTACGATCGCGCGAGCGCTGAGGAAGTAATCTGCGCGCGCTCAAAGGTAAACGTCAGTGTTTTTCTATATTTTATTACGTCAACATGACCACAAAAAGAAAGACTGACAGTGAATTTTCTCGCGTTTCCTTCGGTGAAATTCTGTAAAATTTGGCAGATTGGTAGCAAATGTTTTACTTTAATCAGAGTTCGTTTTTCAGGGAAATCTATACGGCCAGATTTTTTGCAGTGGTAAAAGACATAAATTTGAAAGTATCGAAAAAAACTGCCCTTACAAACCCTACTTTATTCGTGTTTAAAATTCGTATCCTGCTGGAGGCGATGTGATGTAAAAATTTTGGAAGATTTCACCGAAGGAAATTCATGAAAATCACAAATAAAGCCATAAAAAAGGTAAAAAACACTTTTGTTTGGGCATTTATAATTTAAGACTAAATCCCAAAATTTTAACAGAGATGATAGCAAAACACTATTTAATCATTGCTTATTACATGTAATAAGTTTGAGAGAACTAGCTGTGAAAGCGAATGTAAAAACAGCATTCAAAACATAACACTTGCGCGCTCAACACCATAAATGATTACCCTATGGAGCCACCTGAACATTGGTCTGAACTAGGGAACTTATTATAGCGCAGGTGTGAAACAGGGTTTTGATTTAATGGTCGGGTCATAAATAGCTTATCGAATATTTGGTCAGGTCGTAAATAGGGTAGGGAATATCGCAGATTTTGGTCATAAATAGGGTAAGGGTTTTGGGAAGCGGGCCGCACACCCCAACCCAACTTTTCTGGAAGTACCCCCGGCATTACGACAATAGCTCGTGCTAGTTGTGTTTCCATCGAGTTATGCGTGGAAACAGGAAACTAATCAGCGCGCGTATTTTATTTGGCCTATTTTCTAAAGCCATTTGGTTGACAGAACGAATATAACGAGACGCTCCAGTCCCTGCTTGATTGACCAACAGAGATAATTGCATGTTCCTGTTTATCAACATGTAAGAAAATAGCGTGACGGTTCCTTTTTTACAGAGAGGTATTTTGTTTGGAAAGAAAACGAAGTTTACAGTAAACTTCTTTGAGAAACGACCGTGATAAATTATTGGCTTCTAAACATGTTCATTAATATGTAAGTTCTGTACATAGAACACGTTACAAACTATACTGCTGTATATCTTCAAAAATTGATCGTTCAGTAATGACAATGAGTGAAATATGCTTTGGTTTAGAGTGGAAGAGACATGAGTCATAATAACTGACAAAGTAACCCAAGGAGGGCGTAATCCTTTGTGAAAGCATCGGAGGTGTTCGTCGTCTCGCTTAGGGATGTTAGTCACAGATGAAGAAAAGTAGCGTTTTACAATCTCATTGAAACTTTATCCAGACGCGAAGTTGATGACCCCCAAAAGGGAGTAGTTCTATCGCCATACTGAACTGCTTTAATTCCAAGCGTTTAATTAATTCTAGATATAACAAGAAATATGAAAAACTTCACCTTTGCTAGCTTTACACATAACATTTTCAATTCACGTTCTGGGATGGGTAAGCGATCGTAGAATTTGGTGAAAAGCGTGACGAGCTTTTGATCAAATTTGGGACTTAATCGGAATTGTCGTCTAAACCGTCTTTTACAACGGACCTTTCTCTGTTTATAATCCCTCATTTCGCTGAAATTTGCCAATCGTCGGGATAACTAAACCTCTAGCAGACTACACTATTTCATTATCGAAATCCTTCGTCTTGTCAGGTCTGTCTAGAAATCTGGAAATCTACGAGCGCGTGCAGCGTAGCCACTTTCTTGTTTGTTTTGTTTTGATGTTTGTCCTTTTCATTAGTCATTACAGCAAGTTAATAACCCAATCTCATAGTCTTGAGAATGTAGTTTAGTAACAAAGTTAAAAACTAACAACTGATTAAAGTTAAGTTACACTGACTTTTGTTTAACTTGCTCATTTCGTAACTGTGTGAGATGACGCACTTACCTCTCAGTTAGATCAGAATAACTGACTGTCTTTGACGTCTTCTTCCAAATTCGCACATACGATTCCTAGCGAAGCAAAGGAAAATTCGACAGTGTCGTTTCATCATAGTAATGGTTTGTAAAAGTACCTTGTGATAGCAGTGTTTGCAGTTTTTCATACATGCCCTCTTCCATAGCTCGGAGTCATGCTGAATTTACCGATCTACCTTCTGAAAATTTTAGAAACAAGGCTCCTACTTCACAAAAAGCCTGTTTATCTTAAGTGTGTGCAAAAGTAGCAAGGAAGTTGTGACTTTTATTAGTAGCGAGAAGTGCACGAATGGTCCTGTTTTTGTCAGCTAAGGATTTAAAAAGTTTAGGTGTGACTTCTTTTGTTGTAATATGCATCAACATACGGCGTCAATCCCATACAAATAATGTATGTGATAGTATATACGCAATACATCGTAATTTTCTTGAAAACTCAACATCAAGAACAGCAATGGTTTGAACATAACATTTTATCGTATAGTCAAAATTGCAAGTGCACTGACTTTAATAAGCGTTTCCGTAACCAAACTTAGTGTGACTGACCGACCTATTACAAACTGCTACTTACCTTTTTGTGTAAATAAAAGTAAACATTCCACCAAAAAACTCCAGGGATTGATTTATGGGCTGTTACATAAGCCAAGGAATGAGCAACCCAAATTGAGGTTTGATGACTGACAGATCTAGAACGGAAAATATGCCTTTAGTTCTGTCACGAGACACCTGCTGCATGATTGACCATCAGAAAATAATTGCTTGTTCCTGTTTACGTCTTACAGGAAACTATATTGTTTGGAACTGAACAGATCGAACTTTTCTCAACTTTTAAGAAAAGACTTTAATAATTAGATTGTTATTAATAAGAACATTTGTACATCGACTCGAACAAGTCAAACAAGTCGATCGGTCAGCAATTGACTTGGACGCACTATTAAAACTACAAAGAGTCATAATAAAAGACATGCAAATTATGCCCTGAAGCATAGTAACATTTTACAGTTGTCACTGAAACGTTTCACTGAATTGAAGTTGAATTGATGATCCCAAAGCTTCAAGTGTGCTGACACCATAAATTCTTTTTTTTCTTTCATTTAACAACTGTAAACAACACCACGAATAAATCCAAACTCTAGTCGACATGATATGTAACCAAAATAATTTCTTCAATGCCACGTATTGCATAGGGTCGAACCTTTTTTTTTTTTTTCCGCAAGAATAAATTTCTCAAACGTAAAAGCATCTTATAGTATTCATGATTTAGCGTAAGTGGAAACCAGATAATAATCATATTAAAGTAAACGGTCAGCTCAGTTGTCTGAGAGTGGTGTATTTTTTTGGCATTTGATTCATTGTCTGAGTGTAGTACCAATATCCCTGATGACTGTTTAATAATCATCATTGTTATACCAAAAGTAAATAATGTGTTCGCTCCAAGGCAAATTTGGCACCGAGCGGTCTTGTGGTAAGAATGTTAATGTTAAAAACAACTAACTAAGAGCTACTTGGACAGTTGTTAAACAACATCTAAGGGCTACTGGTGGTTCAGTTTGTCGCTCTGCATCCGCTTCGCACATTTCAGTGTGCAAATACCTTCTAAAGACGAAACCAAGTGGTTTCTAGTTTGGGGAGTATTGCGCTCATCAATCCCTGGGGGGACGTGCAACCTTCTTGTTAAGACCCTTGCCTTATTTCTGACAACATTGCAAAAACAGTGTGCAAAAATATGTGATGACGTTTCGATACCATATCTCAGACTCCTAAAATCAAATCAAAATAGTAGGTGTGTATGAATGTATTTATTGGGCAAAACAGTTCCTGCTTGAAAGGATATGTTTTGCGGGTGATCATGTATTCCAAGGAACAAAAGAAGTTGAAATGTTATGCTAGTTATTTCAACACTGCATGATCTCCAGTGATGCAAAACCACTTTTGGCAAAGTCTATTGAAGTAGTCAAACTGCATCGTCATGGCAGAAAGTGTTTTAAGAAAAAAAAAGCATGGTTTGAAGATCGAAGCGAAGCAGAATTGATTCGATTGATTTGATCACGTTTGGATACCGTATCTCGCTCCTCTAGAATGAAATCAGTACAAGTGTATGAATTTGTTTATCGGGCAAAGTCGATCAACTTACAATAACAGTTCCTGTTTGACGAGACAAAGAAAACAAAGAAAGGATGCCTTGTGCGGATGATGTATTTCAAGGAACAAAAGATGTTGACATATTATACTAGGTATCTCACACTACGGTCCAATATTCACAAATCTCTTGTGATGCAAAGCCAGTTTTTGTTTTTTTTGGCAAACTGCATCGTCATGGCCAAAATTATGGAACGTTTTGAGAAAAAGGCAAGGTTTGAAGTCGAAAGCGAGGCCGAATCGATACTGAACAAACAAAAGTTCTATAATGTTGAATGTCCTCACGTTAGTTTTCTCTGAGTTGCCCGCGCATAGTTCGATCTCTTTCCAAATAAACTTAGACATGAACATAAACAAGAAATTATTTGCAGATGATGAACCAAGTAGGGACTGATGTTGCGATAGAAAACATATTTTTAGTTCTGTCAGTGGCCGAGTGGTTTAATTTCATCCAGCCCCGACTTGAGTGTTTTTGCGCTTCTTTAGCTAATCTATCAGCTTAAAGTGTTTCAGTGGCTTGCGATGTTTTACATGAGCGCTGTGACATAATTTTATCAATTAACAATTGATTGTTGTTGAATATAAAAGGAACAAAGAGACAAATTACACACCTTAATTCTTTAAATTCTTGGTCTAAAAATGGATCGAGAAAGGATGCAAAATAATTTTCGACCCTAACTAGCAACTGGTGACTGGTGACGAGCGAAAGCCGGAAGTCGGGGTTCCAGGAAGTGCAGTCGTCCTTTCCAAACGTGACGTGAGGTAGGTTTTAGCCGTCTCCGAGAATTCAGTGCCTATTACTGACTCTGCCTTGATTTGGCTTCGTGATGCTTCTGGGAGAGGACATATACAATTTTGATCTACTCCGAATGCTTCTGTAACAATGAAGGTAAGTTTGCAAAGTAGTTAATGAAATGACGCAGCGATATTCAAACTCACCTTCTCTTTCCAAATGCTACTTTCGAAAAAAAATTCCCCCAACCAAATCAAACTCGTCATTTCGGCTAAGCAAAAACTGACCTTACTTGTGAGCTTTGGGTATGTCGTAACTAGACCGGGTAAGTTGATTTTCGTTGGCGTTTACTTCTAATGATGCGTCGTCGTCGTCGTTGCTTAAGCTCCATGACACATCTGCCTGAACGACCGATAACACGAAAAATTATGACGAAAACGACAAATTCAAGGAAAATGACATCTTAAATGAAATTTCTACCACAAACGATTTTATTAGCGACCAAAAAAAACGACGTATTTGGAACACGTCGACGAATTCATTGGTGTGTGACATCAGAGAAGTTAAGCATGACCTTAATTAAAGCAAAAACTGAATTACCTCTATTTGCAGACTGCAGACTGCAGACTGCAGATTACATTTAGACCTAAATAGAAATCGGGTTATTCTGAATGTCACTCAGGTTAGCCTGTAGAGGGCTCAGATTAGCCTAAACTACCAAAAGTCAGACTGGATTTTGCGCGCCGTAGCTTTTATTTTTTTAGGTGCCTCGATTTTTAATTTATTGCCTTTAGGTTTAAGAAACATTAATTCTAGAGTTTTATTTAGGAAAGCCTTGGACGATTATTACTTGTAATTTCTGTTGTATTTTTAACGGTTTTTAATATGTATCTTATTTTATATATCTTAATAATTCTTGTTTATTAGTTTTTAATTCTTAGAAGGCCCCCGTTGATAACAGTACTTTGTACTGAAGGGTTATCCTGAGGATAATTATTATTATTATTGTTGTTATTATTATTATTGTTGTTATTATTATTATTATTATTATTATTATTATTATCATTATTTGTTTTAATGCAGTTAGCCTGTAAGCAATGGTAATAAATAACCATGTTAGTTTAAAAATCTGCAGTCTGCAAATTCCGTACACTGCCAATTCAGACAAGATGGCGGATTGGGAGCTATTGGTACAGTCTTTTTGGTTTTGTCTCAATTCAACGAAACTGGCGGAAACTGGGCGGCTCGATAGATTTACTTGAAAGAGGGTGATTGGATTAAATAAACAATTTGATAACGTTAGCCAGGCCTTTTGAGCCGAAGAATTTAATAGTACTTGATAATGCAAGAAATTATGCAAAGAGATGGTCGATGAATTGCCAAAACAATTTAGGTCAGGACACGCTAGAAGACATGTTGCGAGGACATGATGCGGGGACAAAGATAATATATAGATTTAGCCAAGTCTAAAAGCGGAGCAATAACGGACGATAAAGGAAAAGAGAATGATTTTTTCTTGGATCAGAAACTCAAAAAATGATCAATTGTGAGTATGTAATTGTTCAGCGTGTGGTTTTGCTATTTTTTCCAGTTACATTTTAACAAACTATACCCAACAAGCCTAACCAAGATTGTAGAAATTACGTACGCAATATATCAGGGACTTTCCAAGAGACTATTGTACAAGGAATATGTCAGAAGAAAAGTCAATAACGCGCCAGGGGTTAATTTGCGGCGAAATTTTAACTGGTCTGCGGTCAACTTTAAAAAATCACGCAATCGATGAGCTCTAAACCTGAGCCCGTGATACAGTCACGTGATACTGNAAGTTTTTGAGTTGTTTTTATTTTCCGTGCTCATGCTGACGTAAGTGACCGGAAGTGAAATTTCACCTCCTTAGCAACGCGCGCGAGCGCACGCATGAATCGGTTAATGGGCCCTTAAGCCCGCGATCCAATCGGTAAACCAGTAACTGGTCAGCGGTCAACTTTGGAAAAAACACGCAACCTTGATGAGCTCTAAACCTAAGTCCACGATGCAGTCACGTGATACTGGTCAGCGGATAGCTTGTTGTGACAGCTGTCAATTAACAATAGCGTGGACGCCCAAAATCAAAGATGTAGCCATGGTAATGGTGCTACTCTCTTTGTTTTCAAGGTATTGGTGTATGGACAGACGGACGTATGTACGGACAGTCACGTGACAACCAAAATTTTCAGATCGATGGGTTACCAAATTTTCTAAGGTATGGGGCTCCGCTCGCGCGCCTTCAGCGGGTAGGAGCTCTGCTAAAAATCAAAACTGTGCAGTAGATAAAGTCCAGAATCTGGGAAATGAAAGAAGGTAAATATGCAAAGACTCTCGTCAAGATTCTGGTCACAGCAAATTTTCTCATGCAAGATATGCGAAGAAATTTTTTACTCAAATTTATAGTCTTGTATAGAGATGCCATGCTGGTGCCCATCCGTATGGGCACCAACATGGTGGCCGGAAACCAACATAAACATCCGTCACTGAGTTTTGCTCCAAAAGCGTGAATTTATCTCTCGAGGAACTCAAAAACATTTTAAAATAACACTTTTAAAGACATGAACAGTTCAGATAGCCAAATTCTTCGAAATAAGTCACTTTTTTAACCAACATGACATCTCTTGCCCGTGATGTAAATGCTGCGTCATGCAAAAGCTTGCAAATTCAAGCATAGTCTATTACAAAACCAAGAACCCATATGTTTTCCTTGTCGTTAAATCTTAAGTCCTTCCCTTAGCACATGATAAGGCTAGGAAAAATATCTGTCGCTGCGAAACTTAATTTAAAAGCATTACGGCCCGGTGTTAAGATGAATCCAGGCGGTTCAATTCTTCGGTCGGTGTAGTGGATCTCAAAAAGTGAGAATCGAGATTTCAACCGCTCCACTATCCCGCTAAACCGATGTGCTTTAATGGCGTTCAATATAAATTACAATGAATAAATTTCACAACTATATTTCCTTGTTGAGTTGATACATGTGACAGAATAAATAGCTTCCGGTGCAAAGCTGAAAGATTCTCGTTCACTTTTCAGTGAAGATTAACGCTTTTATATATTCCCACTTTTAAAGATTTCCCATTTTAGA